AGAGGGCAGGGAGTTAAAATTAGAAGTGGCCGTGGGGTTATGGAGGTCGCTCCTTGAGCCTGACAAGGTCGGGGGTCTGTGGCTTAGGGGCATGAGAAAATAAACATCTCCAGGCTTCATATTTTCTAGGGGATCACAGAAAATACCTCTTCTTCTGCCTTTAGCATGAGGCTTGGAATATGAGGAATTCCTCCCTAAATAATCCCTCTCTTTCCCTGGTGTGTAGAGGATGTGTACACACCTAGGTGACTGCACTGAAAAAGTAAGGACTGGGATAATTACAGAATCCCTGGTTCAGTCACATCCTAGAAAGGCTGTGTTGGATGTACACAGCTCAGAAGATATCTTAGCATTTGGCATTTTTCTGGGATATAAAAGATTTGGTATTCACCATTCAGAAATGCAGAATGAGTCCCTCTCTCTGCTGAGTTTATCCTGAAACTCTGGGAAAATTTTTCACCAAAAAGCAGGGCAGCTCCAACAGACGAGATGACAAAAGATCCCAAGCAGCCTGGGTTTGTTTCAAGCCTTCTTTAGACACCTTTTCCCAGCTCAAGGTATCCCACCCGGAGCAGGGCAAACTGCAAGGACTGAGTGTGGCCAAGGATGTGATGCCTGGTCAGGGTTTAAACCAGTTTTGTGTTTTCTTTACCCCATGTCCTAATCATTCCTCCTGCATCCATGAGGAAGTGCCTCTCTGGAGGAGCAGTGGCACTGATGGATTTACCCCCAGGAAATGAGTGTCACACTTTTGGAGCAGAACACTGCAGCTACCAAATGCCTGGAGCTTGATGTGTGCAGGAATTTGAGTGTTCCCATCCCACCCAGGAGGAGCAGTGATTCCCGAACTTTGCCAAGGAGCCACCAAGCCCTGCAGTGCAAGTTCTCCACCTTCCATTTATCAAAAGAGGGAGTTTGCAGGGCACATCCACAGCCAGCTTGGAAACTCTCCCTGCCCTCCAGAGCAAAACCTACTGGAGGAGCCTGAGGTCCAGAAATAACCACAAACCACCTTTTCCTGTCAGGCAGCTGGGATTTCAAGTGGTTGGAGCTAAATATGGCACTAAGTCAACAAGGAGCCACCAGGAAAGGGGGATTATTGCTCTCCATTAGTGAGGGGAGTCTGCTCACACACGTCTGCAAAGACCTCAGCTTTGGGAAGCACATTTCCTTCATTTCCGTGGTTTGCACTTGAATTTTCACCACGCTCCTCCTCATCTTTCACTGGATATTTCCCATTTCAAAACCGAGCAGGCAAACAAAACCAAAGCACATCAAGAAACAATTTGTCTGGCTGGTAAAGAAACAAAAACAACCACCCCAAAGCCAGGCAGAGGAGCACAGGAAAACACCAAGTACAGCTGTGCAAGTCTCACGTCGCCTCTGCTCCCTCCTCCTCCTCCTCCTCAGCCCTGCTGAAAGACAGCAGCTGTAATCCCTTCCAGGTGGTGACAGGAGTGATCTTCCCAGCCCCTATGAACGTGACAGCCCTGGGGCTGGCTGGGAACACGTGTTCCTGTGCTGTCAGAGGGAGAGGGGAAATGCAAGACCCAACAGGAGCCTGAGTCACAGCAGCCAAGGGGAAATGCAAAGGTTGGAAGCCGTGCAAGCAAGAGGGATGTGGCTGTGAGGGATCTTTTCCAGCTGCTTGTTCCCTTCATGGATGCTCTGGGCGATGCTGGGTGGGACCAGTGGAGGAAGGAGACACCTCCTTCAGCAACATCTGTCTGTGGATCCCCACTGGTCCCACCCAGCCCCTCTGAGTGGGGATTTTGGTGAGCAGAGCTCACTCTGCCTTGGCTGTGACTGGCATATTGCCCAGACGTGGTGACAAACACAGATATGAGTGGGACGGGTCTCCTGGGCAGGAATTTCCGTGATTTCAGTTTTCATGGTTTGATAACTGCATTTTTTTTTGTGTTCCTTTTAGTTTCTTTCTCCTTGCCCGTGCTGCAGGTGAGGAACTGATTCAACACGAGTAGGGCGTGGCATTGACTGTGTAAGCAGCTTTAAAGTGATCAAAGCCAGCAGCTGCAGGAGAAATACTGGGAAATGTTTGCCCTTTCCCTAACCTGTTAAGTTCCAGCAGTGGCTTTTAGCAATAGCACAGAAAGGCAATCGTAGAATCCCAGAATGGTTTGGGTTTGAAGG